GGGGGGGCGCTCTCGTTTGGAGATTTCACAGAAATTCGTTAACTGAGGCGCTGGGGAGTTCGTGAGCTGGGCGACAGGTTTGAGCGTAAAGTCTTGTGACAGGAAAAAAGGGTGGGGGAACGACCGGTACTTCCGTCTGAGGCAGCTGTAGTAGGGGCGGTACGGATATGTATCGTGAGCCTAAGTAATGCTTGTCGTCTTCACTGGAATTTGTTCTTTCCGCAGCCAGTGTTTTACGTATTATCCCAAAGCCAAATCAAGAAAACTGCACGTGATACGCAAATAATATAAACTGAGATTGATCATGAAGACCTTTTGCGGAAGAGCTAATCCAACCACAGGCGCAATGGAGTGGTTGGAGGAGGACGAGGACTATGACTACCATCAGGAAATTGCAAGGTATGCTGGGAAAATCGGTAGCCCGTCCTCCAAAGTTATAAACAAATGCAGAAACTCCTTGCTTTTGTGACAGGTTTGGGTTTTATCTCTGTAGAAGTTTTAAGGGCTTGCCAAGTATGACAGCCTAAATCTTACGATGCTCTGCGTTGCACAGGGTAGAACTGTAAATGTAGGGTTTTTAAAACATTCTCCAGTACTTTTCTTCCAGATTTTCTTAAATGTTTTCTGAGGTGCTGGTTTGCATGCTGACAGTCACTGAATCATGGCAAAATGTACTGACTGCATTTCTTCTAAAGCCTTAGCACAACAAATACTTGATGATTGTATATTCCTTTAGTAACTTTTTAAGTGCTTAATGCAGTGGCCCGAGAAGTTGGGAAGAATAGATTTTAAGCATGTATTTTTAAGCAAGGTGACCTGTAGAGAAATGGAGACCAGAGACATGTAAGCATTTATTATTTTAATCTTGGCAACAAGGTTATCAATAAATGAAAATGACTCTAGTTGTTACTAGTTCAGCTTGAGGTTCTTAGCTGCAGTGCGTCCTAAGCTGACGCTAATGGCAGCTTTTAGTGTAATGATCTTATTAGCAGATAATTGACCAGTATTGGACTGCCTTTCGTTGGCGTTTATTGTTATGAGTGAACCTGTATGTATCCCAGTTGTTACTGCTTTGCAACAATTTGTCCATAGGTCCATGTACTGGGTCCATTGCTAAAGAGAGACTATACAGCAGCAATTCATTCATGCGTATGCTGATGACTAGACCACTGAAATGACATTATTCCTTAGGTCTGGGAGACAACTCCAAGAGCACATCTCAGCTATCTGCACGTTTGTTGGGACCTGCTGCCTTAGATTACCTCCTTTGTTTTCTTTTACTAAGACCTAGCAGTTTTGTACTATGCTTTGCAGTACGTAGTATTTTGATTGGATTTTATTTATTTTAGGTCACGCTATGCGGATATGCTTCATGATAAAGACAGAGTAAGTATAGAAGCGAATAATTTTTGAACGGTGGGAAGATGTTTATTTCCTTCCTTTTGAATAGCTGTCACTGCATGATGAGCCAGGTTTCTCTGGAAGCTGAAGTGTTCAGATTTGTGCCCTTTAAGATACCAGTCCTGCTGTTGTATCAACAGATGCGTTCTTACATTTGATTCTAGACCACTGTTGTTTACTCTAGAACGTACAGCAGTGCTAATAACGTAGCAACGAAAAGAAAATTGTCTGTACAGATGAAAACCGTTTCTTCTGCCACAGATGATGTCCAAGAACAAAGAACACCAAATAAATATTAGCATTGTTCACTTCCTATGAGAACAACGCTAGCTCGTCATGCTTATACTCAGTAAGTGACCTTGGTAGTTTGTTCTAGGTTTGAAATTTTTGACCACATCTTGACAGAACTCGTTAAATGAAATTTCAAAGGCTGTAAATAGGGACCTAATCTTTGCTTTCATAAGAGTGTGTGTAAGGTCTGTCTTTATTCTTTCATGATATTTTTAGCTCTTATTTACCAGTTAGTACTGAGAAGGAAAATAAGGTGAATGCCGTATCTGCAAGTACGATGAAGTCTAGAGTGAACGTTCCAAATGTTCTTGACACTTTAGGCATTTGGTGACTGACTCTTTTAAAGACTTCTATGGTGTCTCTGCCATGAATCTGGAAGTGAACCTGCCAGTGGGATCAGGCATTTCATACTAAAACATATAAAGAAAACAAGTTGTCCCCGAGTAGTTTAACAACCCTACTAGAATTATGTTGCAAAAGTTTTAAGCGTAATTGCTTGGAAAGGACTCCAACAGACCTTGTTACATTTATAATTTTGAAAGATCAGGGTTGATTTGCAAAGGCTTGATAAATCATTTGGAAAGGAATGTCTAAAACGCACTGTTACTGAAATATATGATTAGATTTGCTCCATATGTATATTGTAGCTGACAGACGGCAGCATTTGATTTCTCCCCTGCTATTAATGCTGGTATGCTTGTATCCCCACCTAACGGCGCATAACCATAAACCAGTATTTAGTCTCACATGTTGCTTCTCACATATGAATGTTTTCCAGTAGAGGTAGAAAAACATCTAAATCCAGGATACGTCAGCTCTTGTGCTGTCATAGGCACTATATCACTATGCAAGTGAAAAGCGGGAAAAGTAGTCCAAAAAACCAGCAGTATCTCAGATGGATCTTCTTATTTGCTCCAGAAAATGTTGTATCTTTGTAAATTAGGCATGTATGGTAAACAGCAGACAGATGAATGATGAGGTGAATAGTGTGATAAAGACTGACATACTTCAAATGGACTAACGTATTGTTGTACTTCGTTTCTGTTACTAAGGTGACTGCTTCCTGCAGAAATGCTTGCTTTTACTGCAAACGACTCTGGTATGACTGCGCAAGCATAAAAAGTGTCTGTAGGCCTTTTTCTGATTATAAACTCCTGTAGTCTGAGAGTGCAAGATTCCTGCACAAAAATTATGAAAGGTGGCTGGCTGATCTTTATTCTCTTTTTTTTTTTTTTCCTTTGATAGAACGTGAAATATTACCAAGGTATCCGTGCTGCAGTGAGCAGAGTAAAAGAAAGAGGTGAGAAAGCAATTGTTTTAGACATAGGGACCGGCACAGGACTCCTGTCTATGATGGCAGCTTCAGCAGGTGCAGATTTCTGTTATGCTATTGAGGTAAGCATTTGTTACTGATTGCATGTACTTCTACTTAGCAGAATATGAAGTGGTGTAGTTTTGGGTAGCATGTATGTTCATAATCTGTTTTTCAGAGGGTCGGTGCAGTTGTTCTGTCTGCGTGATAAGCGGTGTGGATGCATTTGCATTGTAGTTTCTGAAGTGCAAATTTGATATACTTCTGTGTGTGGAAAAAAGAGGTAGATCTTACAAGAATATGTTTGAGAAGGCATAAAACACTTTTCAGGACAGTTTCTATAAATGCTCAGATTATCTAAAAGTACTGAGCCAAGTTTTGTAGTGCTCTATCCTCTCCACTTCTTATTGAAACTCAAATGCAGTATGGAAGAGGTGATGAATGTTTTGGAAAATGTGAGTATTCTCCGACCATACTGCTGATCTTCATGAGTTTCGTCTCTCGAGGATGGGTTCTCAGACTACTTAACCATAACATGAACTACATCTTAATAAAGAGACATAAACTGTTTTTTCCATCTGTTTGTGATTCAGTAGAGCATCTCCCACTGTATTGGCAATTAAGAAACATCTTGCTAGCCATTACCAGCCATTCCTTATATTCAGGCTAACAGGAACATTTTGGCCAGTTTAACTTTTTTTTTTTTTTTTTCCCCACACAGGTGAGGAAACAAAGAGAAGACTTATTTGCCTATAGGTCATAGTTGAAAGAGAGCTATCTAATCTTTATCTAAGTTTCCCATGATTACATTTTAGGGACAGTCATCTTTTGTATAGGCATAGGAAGCAATAAGCTTCAGAATAAACTTACTCACAGGCAGATGTGGGGACGGGATAGTCATCAGAAGTAATGTGGTAGGAAGGAGTCTGTTGTTGTGACTGTGAGGTCAGTAGTTCATTGGCCACTCTGGCAGAGGAAGATCACTACCTGGTGGGAGGAGAGCAGAACGTTGTGGGAAAGAAAAGCCTAATCTAAGAAGTGTGAGGATTGCTGGTGTCCCAAGAGCAGTATGTTATTCCAGTTCTGAAATTTGGGCTAGGTTCCAAAGTGGCCACAAGTTTCTTTTCCTAAGTAATCGGATTCTGTAGCTAGGCAGAATATTTAGAAAGAAAATGCTTATCTTTAACACGGAGTTAAAAATTTATTTATTGTATAAATAGGCTCCAAAGACTGATACCTTAAATTTAAACAATTGGCATGGAAGTTAAGGCCTGTTAACACATTCATCGCTGCCCCGTTATTTTTAAGCCATCTGCTTTCTCCGTTCTTCTCTTCGTTCTGAAAGACAGAAAAATTCACTACTCTGGGATTATGGCAGGGAAGAGAAAAACTTTATTTTGGCCCAGTTACGCTGCTAATATATGCAGACTGGTGTATGCCAGTGACTATTGCAGTGCTGGTTGTTGGTGGGGGGGGTTGGGGTTTTTTTGGTTGGATGGTTTGGTTTAGTTTTTAACAGTCTTGAGCACATACAGGTCTCTCCTGGGGCATCTTTTCATGAACAGGTATTTTTATTTTAAAAAATGACAAGTTCGTTTAATGTAAATGCTCTTCATGCCTTTCAAAAGTTAAATTGCAGTAGCTTATGGAGACAAGCTGATAGTTCAGTTTGTAAGAGTAACACTGGAGCTGTATGAACTTTTGAAGTGAGGCTTACTGTCCTGCATTATGGTAACGTTTTTCAACCAGGAAATGGTACAAAATGTGTTTAAATTTTTGCAGGGGGCTAAATATACTGCGTTTTGGATAGGTGTCTTTTCATGTTGAATGCTCATGTTAGCTTATCAACGTGTTATACTCTTGCTGTTTACAGGTTTTCAAGCCCATGGCTAATGCTGCTGTGAAGATAGTGGAGAAAAATGGTTTTAGTGACAAGATCAAGGTAATCAACAAGCACTCCACTGAAGTTACAGTTGGGCCAGGTGAGGAAAATAAACTTAGGTTAAAATACTTGCTGAGTCAAGAGATGTGCTTTTCTCTTTCTTCCAATTATTTTTGATTAAAACAAGTCCTTTTCTCTCTAGAAAGTGACATTGGAAGGTTATTTCAAAAAGAAGTGTTTGTACAGTATTTCAGTAGTCATTTGAACTTCACAGTAAACTTCTAAAGGAAAAGCGAGAATCTGCAGTCTTCAATGGATTCCCTTAAGAGAAATAAGTTTTTGAATGACTTGTCTTTACAGCATGGCATCCTCTTGAAAGAGCTGTATAAAGTCTTAAGATGATGTTAAATTGTGTCTTTCAGACGGAGACATGCAATGTCGTGCAAACATCCTGGTAACAGAATTATTTGATACAGAGCTGATAGGAGAAGGGGCTTTACCAACCTATGAGCATGCACACGAGCATCTTGTACAGGTAGGAGGGTAGAAATTGGTAAGAGTGCCAGATTGATCCCTAAGGGAACTCCTTTATCTTTTGTGGAGTAAGATAAAGATTATATTTGACTTAGGTTTCTGCATCCTTTGTAAAATAGGCCATCAGCTGTGCTAATGTATCGTTCAGCGAATGATTTACTGTGTTAATTCCTCGAATAACAGTTGGTGGCGTATATATTGTAAATCACAGCCCCTGAAATTACATTTAGTTGGTTTATATGAAAACCCAATAATTTGCTGGTTAACAAATATATTTCAGAAAGGCACTCAGTTCTGATCTGGAGGTCTCAACTTCCGTTGGTTCCAATGGCAGATAGGTCCCAAGGCTTTTTTCAAAAACAAAGTAGGTTTTTTTTTTTTTCCTCCTAAATCTGATGGGCTTCACCCCCCCCAGGCATAGATTTTTCTCTTAAGGAGCTCTTGCTTCTCAGCATGTTTTTCCCCACGGAGACGTTTTGAACACTGTAATGAAATTAATATCCAGTATTTTTTGATGACTAAACCTTTGGTCTTTCTCCTTTACTCTTTCTAATGTTTCTATGTTCCTTTTAATTAAAAATGTGAATGGCAAAACTTTATGTAGATTTCTGTCTCATTTTACCAGTTTTATACTGATAAAAGGTGAGTATCACTCAGTAGAGAGTGTCACTCAGTAGCTTCTTACTGCTCCCCAAATATATACAGAGAGAGAGATGCATATATATACATGCACACATTATATATATGTGTATATATATAAATTATAATCATCTTTTTTGTAAAAGCATTGTTCTTGGACTTCATAGTTAGCTCTTGATTCACAGTGATTTTTGTCAGAACGGCTTATATGTTCTCTGCTCTTTAAACATGGTTAGAAAGTTGTCATTGGGTAAGTACTCGAGCCATTATTATTTCCTCATTGTCATTGCAAACTCTGTATTGATAGCTTAGTAGTTAACTGTCTTGAAAGGCTTTGGATAGCTCTCTAATCTCCGAATGAGTACGGAAGCATGTGTTTAACTGAAACTAGGAAACAGACTGATAACTGTGGCCTTGCTGAGCACTGAACAGATGGATAAGCATGTCGTATTTCACAGATAAGGAGATAAAGAGCAGGTGCTCTGATATTACAGAAATCTCTGAAATAATTGGAGTTTAAGATTTCAAAGCTTCTAGTCCCCCTACTTTGTCTCTCTTTAAGCTGGTTCACATTTCAATTAATTTATTTCTCGTGTGTGTTAATAAGTCAGGTGTGTTGAATGCGTTTATGCTTTATTTTGAACACTCAGGAAGGATGTGAGGCAGTGCCTCATAGGGCAACAGTGTATGTCCAGTTAGCGGAATCCAAAAGAATGTGGTCCTGGAACAAGCTGTTTCCTGTTCGTGTTGAAGCAGAAGATGGTGAAAAAGTGATTGTCTCCCCTTCAGAAATGGAGAACTGTCCAGGTGTTCCTTCTGTTTGTGATATCCAACTGAATCAGATGCCTTCAAGTGACTTCACTATCCTTAGTGATGTGGTGGTAATGTTCAGGTAAGAGAATAGGTAGGCGTTGTTCCACACACAATTTTCCTGTTACGTCTTTTCAATAAGTTGCGTATTCAGCTTAGGAAACAGATGGCAGTTTCTGAAGAGTACTGAACTCTTTCTTCTCCAATTTCGATGCTTCTCTGCAGCGTGGATTTCAGTAAGCCAGTAAGGAGTGCTTCTGCCTACTACAGAGTGCAGCTGGAGCCTGTCAAATCTGGCAAGGCACAGATCGTACTTTCCTGGTGGGATATGGATATGGACCCCTCTGGGAAGATAAATTGTACAATGGCTCCATACTGGGTAAAACCTACTTCTGCTTTCCAGGTAAAATACCGAGCCTTTGGTTATTGTTACCATCTATCAAGAATTATGTTAAGTAAAGGTCATACCGAGTGTTTTAAGCAGCTGTCTCTTAAACCACATAGGAATTTTGCTAAAATATAACGTACTGGAAGATGCTAAATACACAAATCATAGAAATGTTGACTATAGTAACCACCCATTTTAGGTTTACTTTAAGCAATAGAAAGCTTAAAAACGGAAGCTGTCTTCTAGATACAAAACTCTTGGTGTTTTTTTGCTATCTTTAGGACATAAAATAAAACTTTTTGCATATTTTTCCTTAAATAATTTCCATCCCTGGTCAGAATAGTAATCTGTATTTTGCTTCCGTGTAGTCTTTGTATTAAATTTTTAAATGACAAAGAGAAGTAAGATTATAATAATATAACCATACTCCCATAAAAAAAAGACTGGTGTGGAAAATTGCTGGGTTGATACTGAGTGTTTAAAGCAACGAGAGATCAGTATTAAATCAGATTCCCACACTTTTGTAGGAATGCGTTTACTAGTTAGATAAACTTAGTCAAGAGGAAAGTACAAAATAATTGTTTGCACTGACTGTGCATTTGAGAGTAAGATTTAAAGTAAACAAGCTTCAGGGCATCCGGTCAACTTAGAACATCTGCAGTGCGCTGTACAGCTTTTTGAAACAGAAGATAGTCTAACTGCTGTATCAGAGTGTCGCTAAGTGAGCTCATGTGATTCAGGAGGTCCAAGCACTGGTCACTGTCAGCAGCTCAATAAAGCTTTCTAACATAAGTGAAGTAGAGAGTTAAAAGAGCATTAATAAATGCAGAAGAATAATGTGATCTGCTTTTCACGTGATAGAACGCAAGCTTAGCGAGTCAGCAAGCCAGTGGTCTCATGTTTATTGTTGTAAGAAGTCTCTATAGAGTGCGTTTGTTCAGTGTACGATATTAGTCCTTACTCAGCCTTACTGATGCAAACAAGATTATTTCATTACATGCTTTCATGTGCATAGATGCTCTTCAGAGTCATGCCCGTTCTTACTAATTAGTTTCCTGTTATTTGTTTACTTTTCATTTACTGTTCATGAGTTAAGTCATAAGGTTTTGTTTATCAAACCTTTGCAGTGGAGAGATCACTGGATGCAATGCGTGTATTTCCTTCCAAATGAGGAGCCAGTTTTCCAGGGTGAGAACGTGTACCTGACTGCCTATCGTGATGAGTATTCCGTGTGGTATAAGCTCCAGAAAGCCAGGTAACAATACACGTGTGTGAAAAAGGATGGTACTTACTTCAAGCTGGTACTTTGGAAGCGCGGTTTTGGAAGAATTACAATAAAAACCTAAAGACTAGCAGATTATTAAAAGCCACTTCATGGGCGTTGAGCAGGTGGAAAAAAAACCTACAAGATGCACAGAAACACAGCTGAACTTTGGACTCTGGGCTCCTGCATTATCGCTGGTAGCCATTCTGTTACACGGCATTCTGTAACGGAAGCAAAAGCTTTCTTACATAGTTCCTAGAAGTCCTAAGAGGAAGGTCAGCTGACCTGGCACAAAGGCAAGGAGGTAAAGTAAAATGGAAATAGAGAATGAAAAGAGACAGAATGGTAATGCGCACTGTCTTTTGACATTAATGCCTTTTGCTTCAGATAAAAGGAACTTTATTGTTTTGGTCGCAGTGGCCATAGCAGCCGCAGTTTTTAGAAATCAATACCAATTTTAAAAATTGATGCCTGAATTTTATGTGCCTTTCTACATTTAGGAATCCAAGCAAGCAACTTTTTTCTAAAGTGTCAAAGCCTAAGATACCTAACCACCAAAGTCAGTGGGAAAGTTTATTTAAAAAAAAAAAAGAGGTGAAAATTGGTCCTTTTTCTTCTTTTCATTTGCAAAAGCAAAACTAAAAAACGTCTTTGGGGAAGTAGTAAATCTGAATCAGTAACAGGTGAAGTCCATGTGCGCTAATATGTGTGTTAGCTAAAATATATATTTGCCTTTTTGGGGAAGATATGTTAGTGATGTTGTAGTTAATATGTTGTTGTTGTTTTCCAGAGAAGAAGAGAATAAAGCAGATGTTCGTGTCGACAGTCCTGTTTGTAGATGTCAGGCTCATCTTCTTTGGAATAGACCGCGCTTCGGTGAATTAAATGATCAGAACCGAACACGCCAGTACATCAACTCTTTGACGAAAGTGAGTACGTGTTGCCTCGTGGCTTCTGTGATAGATGTGACTGTCTTTTTATCTGCAGTAGGTATTAATTGATTCATTGCTCGCTTGCTAAGGAGTTTGCTCACAGAGTGCATTTTATTTAAATCAGCAGTTGTAAGTTGGATTTTGTCATGAAAACTTTGGTATTTCTTTCTCTTTTTTTTTAAATTGAAAGCAGCCACGTTTGGATGAGAACCTGTAGGAGCTCTGTATATTTGTTAGAAAGGTTATTGGTAGTTAGATAAAGACAGGTTTTCAACGATCCCGGTGTGAATCGGAACATGTGTTCCTCGAAACGCATAACACGTGTTTGTATGAGTTCTTTGTGACCTACAGCAAGAGATTACATAAACATTTCTGACACTATTTAAAATATCTATGTTAACCATTGTACATTTTGATTCTTATGTCCTGTGGGAGCATCTTGTCTACACATTGGGGAAAAAAATCCACCAGAACACCTAGAATTTGAGAACCCTTTCATCCTGGATAGGAATAATGATGGCAATTTATTTTCTGTAGGTTCTGAAAACAGATAGCGTTTGTCTCTGCATCAGCGATGGCAGTCTGCTGCCTGTGCTGGCTCACTATCTTGGGGCAAAGCAGGTACAGTACTTCTTCCTGTTTTTCTGGTCTTAGCATTTTAGCTTGGTATTTTCAGTTCTCTGCTGTAATTCAGCAATCCAGCCCTTTATTTAATTTACTTCAAGTGGTTCTTTAGTGACAAATGAGAAAAGCTCTCCTTGTGTTTAAACGGAAGTGAAATTTATCCCTGATCAAGCTGAAGTCTAGGGAGACAACAGAGTTACCAGTTCTGATGTTTGCCACTGTGTAGCTTTGAATGACAGTGATGTTCTTCATTCCCTACCGATTCCTGTTTGCTTTCTTGTATCTTAATGCTTTTGATAATACTTTTTCTAGCAATGAAAGTGTCTGACAGTTTTTGTTTCTCTTATGCTTGCAATGCTACAATTACATTTATTGTCTAGTCTGAAATGGAAGGTCCATAACAGCCAGAGAAAAAGCTTTAAGAAAACTGAGTTTGTGTGTAGATGGAATACTGGGAGCACCTGGCTGGCTAACTGCTTACCTTAACAGATGTGCTCTCTCCTGAGGTCCTTCTCACAGTTAGACTGAATATCTGGGAACACGTAACGTAATCCTGAGGAAGATGCTAGACAATTCATAGAAATAAATGATCTTGCTGAGTTAAATCTGTGATCCAGGGCCCCTGAATTCTTTTGGATGGTGGGCAATCACAGATGACAAGGAGGCAGTATAAGAACCAGGCAAGGACAGAGAGTTCCAAAATAGTCTCCTAGCCCTCAGTGGCATGTTGGTTAAGGATTCACTAGAGTGTTGAATGAAGCCTAAATCATTTCTTACTCTTTTTTTCTTCCAAACATGACTTAGAGTTGCGATCTGCTTAGGTTGCCAGAATACGTTCTCGCCACTCAGATAAACTAAATTGTTTGTAGTGAACCGCAGGGATACTAATTCAGAAAGTGGAATACATTTTACAGTGCCTGTAAAGTTTCTGTAAATTTCTATATGCAAAGTAAAATACTGATCAGGACCCATTAATAACTCAGTGTCTGTACCTAATAAATGTGGAGCACCTGGCTTTAACGTGGCTGTCCAGACCTCTCAGCTGACCATGCTCTTGCTATTTAGTCTGTGAACTACTAATCTGAAAAGATTTGGTGAAATGCAAAGGATACTATGGTGATTTGCAGCCAATCCAAAAACAAGTCTTTGGCAAAACAAGTTCCTCAATTAATGTAGTTGCTTGGCTTTCATCTGACAGAGAAATGACGATAGTCTAGTTACTGAATTAGGTTGTTGGCAGAGATCTAGAGTGCTCTTGAGACTTGGTGTCGATCAGCCATGCTTTAGGTTTATCTGTGGCTTGTTTTTGATCCGCAGCAACTTCTTTTGGTGACAGACTTATGACTGTCTGCTGCATCTGCCTATATTTTTGACAAATTGTTACACATCCCCTCTATCTTCTGAAAAACATCTGGAGATTTAATTTACATCATAAAATACAGTGTGTCCAAATGAGTTATAAAAGATCAAATAAAATAAAGCATAAAGATAGTAACTTCAAAAGGGTGGTGCACTGCAGCGTACATCAGAGCTCTTTCCTAGTACACTTAGGTCATGTTAAACCATACATGCCAGGAGTAAGAACTAATGTGGGCCAATTCATCGTGCTAGCAGTGCAACCAATTTTAAGTGACCCGTTCTTTTTTCCGCTGAGTTGAAGACAGTGATACCTTCTATTCACCTGCTTCCAGAGAAAAAGCAGTTCTTCCTAAAGCCTCTGCTGTAATAGAATCTTTCTTGTTTTTCGCTTCAGTAAAGAGTAAATCCCCAAACTGTTGTCCAAGTGGAAGTTTGAATTTTAGGCTGACTGCAGTTTGGGTTTAACCAAGTTTTGCTGTAACAGTTTCCTTTTTAGGAATATGTTTGTGTTTACCCAGAGGCAACAATATGTCTAAAGCAACTGTTACTATTCTATGTGTATCTTAAAAATGGAAAATAAATAGTGGTGGTGTTTTGTTTTGCTTTTTTTAATAGCTGTGAAAACATCATTCGGCTTGTACTTGTTGAGTAATTTGTTTTGTAAAAAAGGCACGTGGCAAAGGATTGTGGAATAGATGCATGATTTTTATGAGCTAGCTACCTGCAAGTTCACTTCACTGGGGCATCAAAATAGTTCCTTCATTTTTCACTAAGTAATTGTTTAATTTAAAACTGTAAAACCGTTTTGATTGACTGTTGGATGTTTTCTTTAGGTGTTTACATTAGAAAACTCTGCTGTGTCCTGTTCTGTCATGGGAAAAGTGAGTATTTAGCCTTCTGTTTAAGCAATAAATGAACTCATGGAGGTGTTAAGGCCAAAGCTGATGACTTTGACTGTCTGTGTATCAACTGCTTGGAGGTTAAATCAGATTAATGAATCACTAATCATGCAGTCTGACAAGATTGTGGGAAGAGGGACTGTATATTTTAGGGAGGTTGTTTTTGCTTTTTTCCAACAGGTTATATAGAGCTTTTTGCAAATACTCGGAGGAATGGTCCTTCTCTTCTCCATCAGTGGTTTGCGTTCAACTGTGTGTGTTCAGTCACTGGTCTTAGCTGCAAGCTGAAAGGAGACTGGGGATTAGTGGAATGTGAGAGCATCGTGGCGCCAGTGTCATTTGGGAAGTGGCATCTAGTAGTTCTGTTTTCCTGGTGCGACAAGAGGTTGGGAACGCTCCTCTTCTGTTTGGTTCTTTGGAGGCTGCAGGCAGTGGGTCTTAACTGCAAGTGATGTTCCCCCTGCTTCTTTGGGGTAAAGCAGAGAAGGACCCAAGCAATGGAGTCCAGGCTGTTTAGGTGCAAGAAGCAGCTAATGCCTAAGAAGTGACTGGAGCAGCTTCCCTTCTGCCGGCTGTGTCTGTTTCAGTTGGCACTGTGTATCTGAAAGAAGTCTACCTTAGCATGTGGCTCAGGTGTTGAAAAACATGAACGGTAGGCAAGTTAGGGCACAAGCCTGGCCTAAGAGGCAAGCCAAATACGCAGTGTATAGACAGTTTACATAATTTTGATCTTTCCTGACCATCTTCCCCATATGCTGTAGAGTCCAGATGAATGAGGGCGAGGCAACTTTTGCGTCCTTTGCCTTTTATATACTTCATTGAAGGAAGATGAGTGACACGTGCTTTGGCTCTCTAGGTATGACTGTGGCTCTTAAGTGCATGCACCCTTCAAGACTTGTAGAATGTGTTTTGAAGGACACATTATGGAAGCCAGCTTTTTAAAAGTTCCTTTTGGATAGTGTTTTCTTTTATGGTTATGTTAATTAAAAATACTATTCTGGTACAGGTTTTAGTCTCTTTGGTAGCTTTTAACAAAGAAAGCCTAAGTTGTTTTTTTTTGTTTTTTTTTTTTTTTAAAGTTCTTAAAAGCAAATCATCTTGAAGATAAAATTAAAATAGTAGAAGCACGTCCTGAATTGCTGACACCTTCTCATTTGGAAGATAGAAAAGTATGTAACAGTTGTCCAGTACGGAATTTTGGGGGGGTGGGGGAAGGAAGTGAAAATGAATTTTGTTTGCCTAGGGAGTTACCGTAACTATAATTTATCCCATTGTATCCTAGTTCATATAAAGTGTAATGAGCAGGTAGTTCAGACTTTGTCCTACTGAAAGTAAGTGAGATTTAGTTTATACACTTTGAGTTTACACTTTGTTTTAAAAGGGTATGACTTTCCCTTCCTGCAAACCTACAGCAATTACAAGGGCAGTGAAACTGGTTTAACTGCATATGTGCTATTAAGCTGTAGCTCGTCTTCCTCAAGCCAATCAAAAGCTTGTCTGGAAGTGCTAATACCCTTAAATAAAAAATACAAACTTTGGTGACTTTTATTACAAAAGCTTTCCAACCTGAAACCGCAACATTCTCTTTCAGACTTTGTAGCAGAAAAAGTAATTTTAGCATTCACTAACTAAAATAGAAAAAGGTGTTATGCAGTATATGGAAGATGGAGTAGTTAGATCCTTATGGAGCAGAGGAAGTTCTGATCTAGGCAACTTTGTTTGCTTTATTGCATTGTCAACAATTGAAGATATAAGTAGCCTGTGTTGTTGTTTGAGCTGCTGTTCTTTCCTATAGTGCTCTTTATCTCCTTTTTTTTTTTTTTTTAAAAAAAAAAGATTTCAGTTCTTCTTGGAGAGCCATTTTTTACTACAAGTCTGTTGCCATGGCATAACCTGTATTTTTGGTATGCCAGAACAGCTGTGAACAAGCATCTTGCCAGCGATGCCACTGTCCTACCTCAGTCTGCTTCTCTGCACGTGATGATTGTGGAGTTTCAGGTGAGATTGTTTAGAACCATGCATTTCCTATGAACTCACTTAAAATATTGAGTACTCTTTCAGGATTTTTTTTGTAATTTCAGGTTTACCTCTCTGAATATTGCCCCCTTTGATTTGTCTTTTCCTCTTACCTACTGAGATAAAATAAGAATAATTTGACATCTTGAAGATGTGTTTTGTCGTTTCAGCCATCCCTTGCCAGAAAATAAGAGCTTGAATCATTTTGACCAAATTTAAGCAAATTTTTAAATGAAAGGATTGAATGTTTAAAATATTTCTGTAGGTTAGAGAGAGATTGCTGAAGTATGTTAAAACTGTGGTGACTTAAAGTGTGATATTCTGTAAAATAACAGTTTTTAAGATAGTATCTTGTGAGTATAAGACTGTAGGCAGGATTTGCAAACGTACTCTTTTTTTTTTTTTTTTCCATAGTAAGTCTAAACCATTTGAGACTGTGCCCACTTCTAAAGTTGAGCATACTAGGGGTCACATCCTAAAAATACTTGAAAACATTACCTTTCAGAAATTGTACAAAAGCATACTTTTTTGACGTTTGTTATGGAGCTGGAGATGTTCAGTAAAGGTTGCAAAGAGTTAACTTACTAAGACAGTGAAAGTTACATAAGTACTTTGATAATAACATGCAAAGCTTTTGTCCAGCAGCTTAAGTGAGGGAACTTCTTGGTCTGAAATTATGTAACTAAAATATACATTATTATGAACCAAAAAATAATATATAATCTAACATTTTCTCAGGTATGTAACCTTAACTTTATCTCTTTAAAAAAGCTAGCTCTTACCTCTCTTTTCTTCCCTCTGTACAATTCACCAGCTGTGTAAATAATACAAGGACGAGTTTTGTAATTGATCCTTCTCTCACTTAATAGTTTCCTTATCCTACTACTCGCAGTCTGTTCCCTCCCTTCCACCTGTGATTTTGAGCAGATTATACAAGTGAAAACAGGTGTTCTTTTTCTGTCTGGGATAAATCACACTGCATGTTTTTTCATGCTTTCTGTGGCTTTCCGCAAAAATGTGGAGGGCTTAAATATTTTCTCAGTAAATAAAGTTTATCTGAATCTTGTAACAGGAAGCAAATTTGCAAGGCTAAACAACAGTAATCAGATTAAAATAAGCAGCTAACTTTAATTCCGTGCTCTCTTATCTTGAGGATTTATGTTTGAGAACTCATAGCATTTCCTAAGGATGTAAGCATTATTCTCTCCATGGTTTGGATGAGGAAACAGAAGCATGCAGAATGATGACTCAGGATTATTCAGCAGTCTAGTGACAGAACACAGAATAAAATTCAATGCACTCGAACCTCGGTTCTGAACTTTTATGTATTGGGTTTTGTTCTGAGCTGATTCCACACAAAGTTATTTGTCTGCTTTTTACACCAAATTGGGTAGAACGTTGAACATGCGCCTCATTCCGTTAAGCTATTCCAAAAGCTCTTGCTTTTATTTTACATTTTCCTCTTTGTTCAGTGGTGAATCTAGACCCAAAGACTAGAACATGTGTTTTAACAACCTCTGCATTTGCCAGTTTTTGGTTAGACAGAAGGAAAAGACATACCTTTGTCAGGCATTCTGCTGAACTGATTCTCTAGCATGTTCTATCTTGCCAAAATGTGGACATCTCATTAAATTAAAGCAATTAGCTAAAGCTGGATTCAGAAGAAATTTGATTAAATTACTTCAGTTACAACTTTTGTTTAGCCCATAATTGCATTTAGGGAGCAGGATGCTACCTAGGTAACATCATACTTCTAACAGTATAAAACTGTAGAAGTCCTTAGCTACCAAGAATGACCTTTTATCATTGGAGGTGAATGTAGAGGGCCTCCATACACAGAGTATCTCTTAATCCTTTAAAATAGTCTAACACATCTTGTAGACCTGCTGTGAGATGAACTTCACCCTGGAAAAGAGATTTTTGAGATGGATATAGTAGAAAAGCCATTTGGTCAAGTCTTTGTTTGTTGAGGGTGGGAAAATATATTGTGAATCTTTCCCAGTAATTCACAATCTTTTAATCTTTCTTTCATCATTAATTAACGATTCTTGCAAACTGGAAGGAAAAACATGTTAGGATTGCACACTCACTGTGACACTTGTCAGCACACCAGCTGTCTGTTCTCCTGAGATGTAACACGCTGCAGATTTTCAGCTTGGTCTATCAGATATGCCTTGCAAAGTGTTACAGAGCAATTTATAGAATATGTTTATGCATTGTTTACTTCTATTAAGGAAAAAAGTATATAGTGGAAAAACATGGGTTAAAAGTTATACTTTCCCTTTGTTGTGTTTGTGCGCCTACCAGAGCTGTTTGACATTTAAAGGTATTCTGCAGCAGACTTAGACTATTTGAACTTACAATCAGTTGCCCTCAGCCTTGAGGAGCTGAGCAAATCCGCGGCGTGCCGCACCCCTAGTACGTGACTAGTACTGCTAAAATGGTCTGCTCTGATAGATTCTCAGTGATACTGCAGGGGAAAAGAAATGGAGGAATACATCTTTTGTGATTAAACAAAGTATGTCTAGCAGCAAGCTTGTTTATGTGAGACGCGGTCTGTCAATACCTTTCATACGCAGCGAAATACGTGAAATTAATGTAGTTAGCAGGCTTTAAATTCTCTGTATGGCCCCAAAGGAAATACACGCATCATATTTTTTAGGATTAGTAATGATCTATAGAGTAATGGTCTTATTTTCCACATGTTAAGCTGCAAGTGTCTTGGGATGAGCACATACAGTCGCTGAGCACTTTAACATGTAGGCTCTACTGAGTGCAAGTTAAGCACTTAAGAGAGAAGCTAACTTCTCTCTGTCACTGTATAGTTGCCTTGTTTCCTAGGCATTGCTGTTAGCTGCTTTTAGGTACAGCGTATAGTATTAAGTGGGCATTTGTTCAAACCCAGTAAGACTCTTCTTGTGTAGCACGCTCTTTGTCTATAGGTCTCTAGTACTAAAGATAACAGTAGGGTTTGCTACAACCAGAATGCGCGTACATGTGTGGGCTTAGGTTTTGTTTTGTTTGCTTGTTTTCTTTTTCCACCCAGGCTGGAAGGCATAGAGCACAGAATTAATTCAGTTTACTCCCCAGGCTGTCTTATGAGCTTTCTAAGAAATGATGAAAAGCTACAGTGACAATTTTGCATTTACAGTGCAAAAGGGTAAAAGAGTAAATGGTCTTCCTGCTTGGCACTTCTTGAGTATCCCTACTAGCAGTAGCATTCAACACCATTGTAGAGAATTGCACTAAATTACTAAGAAACGTGGACTGCTTAAATTACTCTACTTAAGGACTATAGGGTAAACCATTGGGAGATTCTGTATAGTCACTCTAGTTCATGATGTATTGTATTCAGACCTAAGTTTATAACAGCATTTACTTAAGTTTATAGTAGTCCTGCTGCCTGCTTGTAAAGTAGAAATCCCGTGAGCAGTACCCAGTACAAGTAGAAACCTTTGACATTGCTCAGTGCAGCAACGAACAGGTGATAAAATATGTGTATCTGAAACTAGTGAATGGTCTCATCCTATGAGAGACCATTAATTGGTCTCTAGACCTAATAGAGAGCAGTCTGTTGACTTTACTAATGAATTTACTAATCTTTGGAGTGCTAAAAGGAAGCAAATTGCCTTCCCAGAACACACTGTTTTCTGACTTCTTACAGAAGTTTGAATGGGTCAGGAATATAAAGTGTGTGTGTGTTTTTTTTTTTTTTTAAATGAATTAGGAATGTGAAGATTTTTAAAGAGTCTTTATCTGTTTTGTTACCAGCTGTCTAATCTACAGCTAAAATTATTTTAAGATTCTTATCACTTGAGATTAAGAGTATAAGACAGCAGATAAAGAGGTAAACCGGGGAGGAAACAGTCCTGAACATAAATGTTGTTTTTTTTTTTTAAATTAGATTTGGTTTCAGAATTTGCTTTTGGAAAATGTGATTGAATAAAGGAGTAATTTTTGTAGCAGTGATTACCTCAGAATAGTTTTACGTCAGTGAATCAGTGCATGTGGTGAATTTTAAAGAATATATGACCTTTACTGTATTCAATACTTACTCATTTTTCTAAGACAAATCTCTTTGGGAAAGAGCTGCGAATTGCTGAGCGGGTACCCGTCTTGATTGGAAGCTATGGGTGGGGAGAATGCTATGGAAGAATTCTGTAACTGGTGGGTTTCAGTTTCTGTTGCAACAGAAACCTAGTTTGTGTGCATGTGTTTTTGTTTTTTTTTTTTTTTTAAATTAATCCATTCAAGTGGATTCAGCGAACTAATTTTATAAATTAATCAATTTTTGAAGTGATGATGGTATGATCATTTGTATAAGGTGCTAAGGAGGAGAACTGTATCTGGAAAGTAACATTCATGTCGTCAGTGTATGGATTTGCTTTGAAAACATTGTGGAAAATTTCAAAAAAA